TAGAAACAATCCAAGACAGTAAACGTCGAGTGGGATGTAAGGCATTTAGAAGTGTCGTGGGTAGAAACAATCCAAGACAGTAAACGTCGAGTGGGATGTAAGGCATTTAGAAGTGTCGTGGGTAGAATCAGTACAAGGCAGTAAAGGTCGAGTGGGATGTAAGGCACTTAAAAGTGTCGTGGGTAGAAACAATCCAAGACAGTAAAGGTCGAGTGGGGTGTAAGGCATTTAGAAGTGTCGTGGGTAGAATCAGTACAAGGCAGTAAAGGTCGAGTGGGATGTAAGGCACTTAAAACAGCATGGGTAGAATCGGTCCAAGACGGTATGGCTCGAGTGGGCTGTAAGACACTGTAAAACGACGCAGGTAAAAAAAGTCAAAGACAGAGTGAGTCGTATACGATATAAGACAATTTGAAACCACATAGGTAAAATCACTCCAAGTAATGCTTGATTCAAAACAACCAGTCATTTTAAAACAACATGAAAATCAAATATTGTACTCGGTGAACAAGCCTTATATGAAAGGGCAAACTTGTTTTAAAACAACATTAAAATTATACTGAAATCAAAAATATGACCATCATGGGATCCACAAGGGGGAACACTTGCCTCCCTTCTGAATTATCAATTTTGTATGTCCCTTGATAAGCTTTGATATCATTTTGTCATCTATCCCCCCCCCTCTGTTATATATTCTGCGGACACCCATGATGACCATTTTCCCTGTTTTGGATGTTGTTAGGTTTTACAGACAACACGTTGTAATTCAATTGGTTAAAACACAAGCAAAGAATGTTGGTGTTTTCAATTACTGATCAGAACTCTTTTTATGCTTTAGCTATATTAGTGTTTCGAATAAGATTTACAATTATGAGCAAATTGTTAATCACATTTTCTTATTAGATGTTCTAGACTCTTTTTTTTTTCAAGTAATATTTTCAATATAAATGTTATATTTTTTGTGGGAAACTTTTAACATCCAAATTTATAATTTTTTGGAAATTTTGAAAAAACACGTTATTTTTGTTGCCATAAAAACAAAGATAATATATCGTTATTATGATTATCTTTGATGTTTAGTACATTTCCAAATTAAAATGGTATGTTTTTATTATACTAGAGCGTGTATTACAATATCCTTTAGAGCAAACGTAAATCACTTTGAGTTCGATTGGTCGTTGATTTATCAACTGTAGAGTTCTCATAAACCTAAAAAGTAAATGTTATTTTTCCGATTTTCCATTTACGAAAATAAAGTGCTAAACGCACAGACATATCCATCTGTTGACTTTCAGCACCCACTCGTGGAAACAGGTGTAGCTGGCTGTCTGATGAGAGGAAGGAAGCCTTATCAGTTGTTTACTTGCATGACTTCGCGTGTGGAATGCGGTCAGTATTAGGCTAAACAAACTAAACTACCTGATCTAAGAATTTTAAAATTTTGGGCGAACAACCTTCGTCTCTGTTAAAGTTTGATCTAAGAATTCTAAAATTCTGAGCGAACAACCTAATTAAATGTTGATCTATTAATCCTAAAATTCTGAGCAAACAACTTTGGTCTCTATTAAATATTGATCTGTATAAGAATTTTAAAATTCTGAGCGAACAACTTTTGTATCTGTTAAATGTTGGTTTATTGATTCAAAAATTCTAAGTAAACAACCGTGGTCTCTATTAAATGTTGGTCTATTGATTCAAAAATTCTAAGTAAACAACCGTGGTCTCTATTAAATGTTGGTCTATTAATTCTAAAATTCTGAGCAAACAACCTTGGTTTCTATTAGCTGTTGATTTATTAATCCTAAAATTCTGAGTGAACAACCTTGGTCTCTATTAAATATTGATTTATATGATAATTCTAAAATTCTGGGCAAACAGCCTTGGTATCTGTGAAATGTTGGTCTATTAATTCTAAAATTCTAAGCAAACAACCTTGGTCTCTATTAGATGTTGATTTATTAATCCTAAAATTCTGAGTGAACAACCTTGGTCTCTATTAAATGTTGATTTATAATTTATATTATAATTCTAAAATTCTGGGCAAATAGCCTTGGTCTCTATTAAATGTTGATCTATATAATAATTCTAAAATTCTGGGCAAACAGCCTTGGTATTTGTTAAATGTTAGTCTATTAATTCTAAAATTCTAAACAAACAGCCTTGATCTCTATTAAGTTTTGATGTACCAAAAACTCTCAGATTGCTACTATTTTTCAAACTTGAATATTTTGAGTGAAGTTAGGGTTGTGTTGTTGTGTGTTGCGAGAATTTACTGAAAAAACGCAAATGATCCCATCTCGTTTCCTATCGCTGTTGGACCGTCACTCATACAAATGTGAAACCAACATAAAAACTGGCAATATACGAAATAATAATTCAATGTTAAGTTTAACTCTATATGATAATGGCAAAAGAAAATTAATTAAATAATAAAAGTATTTTATGCATTATTATGTTCTTGAGTACTTAACAACCCTACAGGTTCGAAGTTAAAAAAGTCCAAACAAACACATTTACCCAACTTATTTATAAAGAGTTAAGTGGCATTGGGTATGTAAAAAGAACCACACATCCTTTCACATTTCGTCTCAATGATTCATTCTATAAACAACTTCGCAATATATCAGAGATGAGTGATTGGGTGTTGGTAGGGGGGCCGGTGGGTGCAGATCTCTTGTACTTCTATCCAGAAACAGTTGCACAGAATATGTTATGATAGTGCCAACTTTTTTTTGACCATTTAACTGACCAGTCCACTGAAGAGAATAGAAATGAGTGACGAGAATGGAATATTTTTTTTTTTTAGTTTCTGCTTAAAGCAGTTAAAAGAATTGCTAATACCAATTCCACACGCCATGCTCAATAAAAAAAAAGATTACACACGAAGCATTATTGCGAGATAATATCGCCCTATAAAAAAAATAAGGAACTCTTTCATGCGGTCATTTGTACCATAAAGAACTTTATAAGCATATCATACGTGCTCAAATAACCAACCTTCTGCTCTATCACGTGACTTTCTCGTGCCACGCACATGCTATCCACACGGTTTCTCAACAGCGAGTTCACCTGCACCGAAAAACGTGGCTGGCGGTGCAATCTTTTATAGCTTAACAACACCTAAAAAAACTTGTATTAATCGAAGAAATTTATTGAAACTGTGAGCACAAATTGCTGCGATAAAAGAAATAGAATTTTACCCAATATCTAAGCCTAAATAGAATGTTACGCAATATCTAAACCTAAATAGAATGTTACGCAATATCTAAACCTAAACGAGGTTGGTTCGATCCAAGTACTCGTTTAAAGGCTGTGATTTGATCTGGTGGTGAACAAAACGAAGTAAAATGTATTTAATGAAGTGAAAGAAGATTATATCAATCGCATGTGATTGTAAGGAAACGCCACTGCGTGATTAACTGTACACCAAAAAAGATTCCATAAACGATCTAAAAATTCTAATGATGATGATGATATAGTACATGAAGATGGTAATGTTAGAATGATGATCCATAACCATGATTACGTTCACTTGCGCTTTTAATTTTTTAGTTTTTCCACTATGATCTTGAAATATTAAAAAGACGCAATTTAATGCCATAACTGAGCCCCTCGGTGGCTTAGTGGTAAGCTTGAGGTATTAGAACACAATAATTCGGGATTCGATCCCTGCGGTTGGTACACGATACATGAACTATCGTGCAGCTTTATGTTTAACTATTTATATTAGAAAATACATTGAACAACAACTCTTTCCGTGCAAACTCGGTTAAGTTGGTGAAACATAATAAGCTTCCAGAAAGACTGATTTCGAAGTCACATTATAAAACTTACGAAATTATCTTACTGATTGTAACGTGCTCATATACCAGGCGTGGCCCAGTTGTTAGCGTGCCGGTCTGTGGATCCGAGGGTACATGGACTATGTCCCCGAACTGTGGAACCTCGGATCCATGGACTATGTCCCAATACCGAAAAAAAAGCGCTTCGCTATTTGAGACCACTGGCGCGTTAAAAGAGTGACAGTCAAATCCTATTATTTGATTACAGTAGCCCAAATGTTGGCGGTAGGTGCTGGTGACTAGCTGTCTTCTGTCAGGACGGCTAGCGCGCATGGCTTGTGTAGCTTTGTACAAATATTTGAAATTCCGCATCAAACCTGTGCTCATGAACTTGGCTCGTGGCCAAGTTGTGTATTTGCTTTTCACGCACATTTATAAACTGTAA